CGCTCACACAGAGGACCTATCCACGTCATCATTTACCCAGAATGCTTTGTGTGTAAATAAAATGGCTCCGTCCGTGTTAAAATATATTTTTAAAATTTACAAAACTAAACAGCCTACAGTATTCTTAGTCTTTATTTTACAGTTAAAATACGTTTATCAAATAAAGTCTAATGTTAAAACTAATCGTGGATCCCTTTAACTCCATACACTGGATCTGATCAAGATTCCCCACTTCTTTTTTCAGGCCCTTCCACCATCCTCAGGGCCACGCCCACATCGCTGCGTTTGTAAGCCACGAGTGTAAGTAAAAATATGTCTTTTCCCCCACGTCGTACTCAGTTGCACTGACTGAACCTTACATTTTCTCATGTCTGCAGCGTACAACTTCTCCCATCGAATAGATCATTTATCTTTCGGTGAGGAGGTACCGGGCATAATCAACCCTCTGGAYGGCACAGAGAAAATCGCCTACAACAGTTACTTCAGTTCTTTTTTTRTACCAGAATCTCATAATGATCACTTATGGCTTCCTCAGCCAGTGGTTTTCATTTCATCTCTGCTTCATTACAGATAATCAGATGTACCAGTACTTCATTACGGTGGTGCCCACCAAGCTGAACACATACAAGATATCAGCAGACACACACCAGTTCTCCGTGACCGAACGAGTGAGCGATCGGTACTGAAGCTGAAGCTGTAGAAGAAAGAGGGGAGTGTTCAGTTTAGTTTTACCGTGTTTCCCACAGGAGCGGGTGATAAACCACGCCGCAGGCAGCCACGGCGTCTCCGGCATCTTCGTCAAGTACGACACCAGCTCCCTGATGGTGACGGTGAGCGAGCAGCACATGCCGCTCTGGCAGTTCCTGGTGCGACTGTGCGGCATCGTCGGAGGCATTTTCTCCACCACGGGCGAGTTTGCTTCGCACGCATTCACTTCCACGTCTGTTCAACAAGGCAGCGGTTAAAACATTTTCAAAACGAGAGAAGTGGCACTTCCTGTGAAAATGCAGTGAATGCTGGAAGAAGCTGAAAAGGTTTTGTAGCAAAACTGTTAAAGTGAGTTCGGTTTGACTTCTGCTGAAAGTAGGGAAACAAAAAGTGAAAAATAAAATAAATGTGTCAAAGCTGAACAGAGCAGAAATGTAGCTAAAGTTGAAATTTGGACAAAAGAGAAAACCGTCAGAAAAATGACTAACCTGTGACCATGACCTTTTATCACTTTGAAATAAATGGGTCGCCATTTCATTTCCACGTTGCTGAGTTAAACAGTAAGAAGCTGAAATGATCAGAAAAAAGGTGAATTTAGCTAAAAAGCCTAAATTAGCAAAAAAACTGAAGGAGCATGTTTGCTGAATTAAGCAGAAAATGCTGAAAATAACACAAACACATGAATTTAGCTGAATGATGCTCAATTTAGCAAAAACAAAAGCTTCAAAGTACCTGAGAAAACTCAAATTAGCTGAAAAGTTGCTAAAAATCTAAAATAAGCAAAAAGCAACTCAAGGAGCATTTTGCTGAATTAAGCCAAAAAAGCTGAAAAAAAAACCATGAATTTAGCTGAATGACGCTTCAACTAACAGAAGTAAAAAGAAGCATACAGCAGAAAGCAGTTGAAACATAGCAAAAAAAAAAAAAATGCTAGACAGCTAAAATGATCACAAATAAGTTGAAGGAAGCTAAAATTGACACGAAGTTTTAAAAAAAAACAGAACCAGAACAAAAGTTGAAAAGAGCAGTAAAGATCTATAAATATTTTAAAGGATTTTAAAGAAGTTGACGGCTCCGATGATTTTTAATGACAGGAAAAAAATCTAAGTCTCTCAAAAAAGTATAATTTGCTGAAATACCAAAACTCGTACCAGGAATGTCCTGAAGGAGCTGAATGTTTTTAGAACAAAATTGTTGAAGTAGCACAAAAACTGAACGAGATTTGTGCCAAAAACATCTGAAAACACTATACAAGCATTCACACAGTTACAGACACACAATCTAAAGAACCTTTGTTTCTCTTTAAAGGCATGCTTCACGGCCTTATAGGCTTCTGTTTTGATATCTTCTGCTGCCGCTTCCAACTTGGAGTCTACAGGCCCCGAGAGGCGAGTCCTCCTCTGTTATTAGAGACAAAATAAAGCTCTCTCTTTAAAAACTGTCCAAAAACAACTGATTTCACTGCATCTGTTTCAGGATGTGCAGCTACACAACCAGATGAACCATCTGACCAATCACCAGACGCCTCTTCGGCCAGAAAACGCCCTTCTCGAGTAGCGGTTTTTAGCCGGTCGTTGTCAAAGTGTTAACGTTTGTTAATAAAACTTCCTCCAAGTGGATGAATTCAAACCATCGAACCTGTCATGTTTCTGTTTATGTAGAATCTTTAACTCCGCTGTTCCAGGTGTTAAATGGATCCAGACCTGGAGCGACACTTGTGATAAGACCTGTTTTTTAATATAGACGTCAGCTTTTCTGGACAGTGGGTGCAGCTAAAGACTTGTGATTTGGTGCACAGTGTACGCAATAAAACCAGATTTCAAGTTTACATCATGGATGCAACTTCAATGCAATCACCAGGTGTCATTCTGCAAGGGAAAATATCTGTTCTCCATTTGCAACATTATTGATTACAATTGTAAATCATTTAATCAGGACACATTCAGCTAAATAAATTTCAATCAGTCCTAGCTGACTTGAGTCCTCGGGCCCTGTTCAGACCTGTCACTTTACATCCATCTTGGGTGATTCAATTGCATGTGGACAGCTCTGATTGAGAGCTTTCACACCTGGCAGTGAAATCAGCACTCCAAACATTTGTACATCTACACAGCGAGCCACAAACTGGACAATTCTATAAAAAATGCAATACTTTAAAGATGTTTTTCAAGTTATTCCTTGCTTTACTTTGCAAAAGACATGAAAAACATGCCGGTACTTCGTGCCAGAGTAAAGACTGATGGTATTGAATATTACTGTTATGTAATTGACTGCACATTATAGTTTGCAGTGACCACAGTGGGCCAGCTGAGGACAACTGAACTGGTATATGGCCCAATGCATAAATTCTGAATGTATTCTCTAAAACAGGAGCCCAAAGTGGGGTCCGCGGGCCAAATTTGAAACATGAAATACAAGTAATAGATTAGGTTTAAACACAGGTGTAGATTTGCACGATTTATAAGGCTACAAAAACTTATTTTATCAGTTTATGAAATGTCCTATGAACCTTTGCTGCTTGAGCGTATGGCAGACTTTTTCCAAGCGAAGACTAAAACAAAATTGGGTCACCGCACTGGCTGCACGCTTAAAAAAAAAAAAAAAAATTATATATATATATATATATATGACTTTACTTAAAATATTTGTATTTCATGTATTATGTTACTGCATTTGGCCCGCAGCCCCGGACAGATTTTCATTTTGGCCCTGTTGAAGAAAATGTTTGGGCACCCCTGCTCTAAAATGTGTGATRGTTCAATAATGAAAAGCAAAACAGAAAAGACAAAGATCACTTTTAAACAGCACCATGTGCCGTATATTTGTAAGGCAAGCTTTATGTCTGTAAAGCTGGAACAGTCCTGTAAATATTGAAAATAAACTAGATAAATGTAGGACAGACAACACCACAGATGCACTTTTTTATCTCGTTTATTTCAGTTTTGCCAAGCAGACTGAGTTTAGTCAGAGCAGGGAAAACAGGTGGTCAATTTGCAAAAACGACACCATCACAAATAAGATGTCCTTGGTTTGGTGTCATCACACGTTTCATCTCTGGGTTTGTACCTACAGTACTCTGCATTCAGTCAGGAAAGACATCTGTTACCAGACAGAGGAGCGAAGCTCCACATGAACGACAGCATTAAAATAGCCCTGTTAGCTCTTTGAGGACATCTCGACAAAACCACTTCATCATGCAGGCCTCGGACGAACGCAGACAGTTACACAGACGTGAGTTTTGCATAAACATTTAAATTTGTCCCTTTTTCTCCCTTTAAAAGGCTCATGTTTATTTAGTCACACCTCGATGAACAATACTGCAATTTTCCCTCGTTTCATAAAAAATCTGACTTGCCTGAATACTTTTGGTACACACACGAAGGATCTGCGAAAAATCAAGTGGGGGAAAAACAAAAATCAATACAATTTAATTTTTAGGGTAGATTAAAAATAATTACAGAACTGTGGTGAAGGATGACAAACAGATTCAAAGCATGGGTTTAATTCCTTACCTCACACTGATTTTAAGTCTGAAAGTTGCACTGCTTTTCCCCATTCTGTAAGGACTGGCATCCCTCATGGCTCTGTGCTTGGTCCTCTACGTTTTTCTTTTTGTTTGCAACTGAAGTTGTGCAAAAGACAACTTTAAAGGCCGTGTACAGTAAAAATAAATGTGTGTTCTGAGGTTGTCACACCACAGAAATATGTGTTAATAATCACACAGCCAAGTTTGAACAATTAAAAATACTCTTAACCTTATAAAATTGTGTTAAAAGTAATGAAAAAATATCAGTAAGCTGTGGTCTGGAATGCTGGGGGCGTGTCCGCTGGAGGWACTTAAACCACGCCCACGACCCTGAACATTCCTGTAACCGAGGAAACAATGTTTGTTTTCTTTTCCATTAGAGCAACAGGAGGCGGGGTTATACTGAAGGCAGCTGTGTGACATCACGAGGCTGCCCTTTAAGACATGCCCAAAAAAATCCTGAAACACAGATACCTTGTTACACAAATTGAATCATATCTCCACTATTCAAATATCTAACAATCCATTTATGACATTTATAATGTTTAAAAAAGAAAATGTTACATTTTACTTTACACGGTCTTTAAGCAATCCAAAACTTTTCTATAAATTCATCTGATAAATACTCAGCCTCTTTGATCACCAACTTCACTTTATTTTTAAAAAAGAGGACGGTCTTAAAGTGCCTTTCCTAAACAAATTGACTTTACKTTTTCAGCCCTGAGTTCTTCCCAGCTTTTATGTGGATCTTGTTCTCCAGAGGCCTTAATCAAGACAGTGGTAACCATCTACTTTTCTAGTGTCCCCCACTGAATCTTTTTACAGTCATTTTGATGAACAAAAACATTTCCTAAAAGTTTTTCTGAACCATAGTAGTTGACAAGTTTTCATCTATGTTTAAGTGTATGAAACAAAAATATCTTTCTTAAACTTGTAACAACCTTTGGCTCTAGAGAAACTTGACTTGAACGTAACCTGTAGCTTGGTCCTCAACTCTAAACTTTTAAAATATGTAAAATGACTTCGGACAAAAAAAAATGAAAAGGGCTTCCCATTCATTTCTTATATTTTTCAAGTTTGGCTTGACTTCATTAGCATTAAGTGCTTCATAATCCTCCATTTGGCATCGACTACTGCAAGTTTTCCCACCTATTTCACCTCCTGAATAGAACTCTAAAGTTTTAGGACCTTTTTGAGGAATATTGTACTGTGTGTGTTACGTTATATAAATAAATCTGACTTTTATGTACTCTTATTTATAGACACTACACTGCCAAGGTCTAACACTTTAACAGACTAGCCTTTGACGCAAGTATAAAGATGTAAAAGTAGTAAACTCAGTTCAGTACAAACTGCTGTACAAACAGGCATAAAGTAGATGAGCGATCAGACAAAGAAAAGRTTTACCTTCAAAGACATACTGACATTAATAATGTGATTATAAATTAGTGACAACCTCAATGAGAAAGCTGACTGATGTCTGTGTTGCGTTGTCTTTGTGTGGCCAGATTTCAGCTTCAACACTCATCAGAATAATTTCTGGGTTGGTCTTGAGAGAGAGAATCAGTGAGTCGTCGTCTTAAAAAGGCAGTAGAAGCACATGATGCGAGACGGAGCTAAATCACGTCATGTTACAGGTGACGTTTCCTGCTGTTTTAAAAACAAAAGTATAGAAATTGTCCAATGAAACATTTCAAGTATGGGGGAGAGAGAGAGAGAGAGAGAGAGAGGGAGGCAAGGCAATGTACTGAGATTCAGTAAGGTGGAAAAGAAAGAGGAAGTCACACTAAAAGGCGTATTGTTGCATATATAATTGGCCACTTTGAAGAAAAACAGCAGGTACAAAATGAAGGACGCCACTTCGTTGGACGGGGTTTGCTGACTGAGGAGTGTAGATGACGGATTTCCAAAAAAACAAACAATTTCATGGCTAGTAGACCTCCTTATTTCTCCACCTGGGTGCTTCCTCCTGTAGGGAGCCCCATTTGTCCACACGGAGAGTTTCTGAGTCTCAGAGGCTGAAGGTGAGGGCTGCCGTCACTCTGGCTCGAGGCGGAGAGGAAGACTCAGTTGKTTAAGGTGCTGGACGCACGGAAGTAGGAGAGGAACTTGTAGCAGAGGCTGACCACGAAGTACCAGATGTTTCTGGCCATCTGGGAGCGGGCGATGAACACCCTCCAGATGAAAACGACTAACAGTGTGTTGAAGGTGTAGCGGATGTTCCTCAGCCTGAGAGAGAACATGCATATGAGCTGATCACAAACATAAAAAAGTGCCATAAATTATTTATCATACCTCCAGTTTTATTTGACCTACAAACACAATTTAAAAACAGGTGTATAGCTTTGAAGTCTGTTCTTTGGATACAAACTGAAAGAAATACTTAGAGCAGAGATTCATAACCCGTGGGCCGAGCGCCACCTTGAGGGCCTCAAAAGAACAACAGTTTTTAACTTTGGGCCGCAGAGGGCCGTGGGACCGTATCGAGTTTCAATAAGGTGCAATACACTTTCTCACCACTAGTAGCAGTAGTGCGCCACTCAGTTGTTTAACAACTTTTTTAATATGTAGAAGAAAAACCGTAGAAACCTGCCGAGAATGGAAACCTATTTTAAATGAAAAGTAGAAGCAAAAATGAAAGTAACTCGACAAAAACACTAAAGTTTGTCACTAATTTGAAGTACAGCTTCTGTTTTTACCATGAAATATTTTAAAAGTTCAAAACATTATCA